ACACACACACACACACACACACACACACACACACACACACACACACAGTGTTAGCAGAAATCTATTTAAATTACTTATAATAGTGATCCATAGAGTAAACACAATTAGTCTGGAAATTATTGGTCTTTAGGGAAGTACTAACAGTTCAACAGTAGATTATTTCAAAAAGGTGGCCAAGAGATCAGGGTGTGCAAGAAAGGAAAAATGTATGGAAAAGTTCATAGAATAGAAATGAGGCCGGGTGTGGCAGCTCACGCTTGTAATCCCAGCACTTTGGGAGGCCAAGGCAGGTGGATCATCTGAGGTCAGGAGTTCGAGATCAACCTGGCCAACATGGAGAAACCCTATCTCTATTAAAATACAAAAATTAGCCAGGCGTGGTGGCAGGCGCCCATAATTCCAGCTACTTGAAAGGCTGAGGCAGGAGAATCATTTGAACCCAGGAGGAGGAGGCTGCAGTGAGCCAAGATCATGTCATTGTACTCCAGTCTACATGACAGGAGCAAAGCTCCATCTCAAAAAAACAAGCAAATGAAAAGAGAATTTGGAAGGATGTGCAGAGATACAGTCTAACCTCCTCTATGAAGAAATCATTCTCCCAAATCCCTGATTGTAGAACTTAGTCTAATTTACAAATCATAGGAATTCAATCTAATTTTCCACTAAAATTCATGCTTTATCCTTGGTGGAAGAAGAAAGGAGAGAAAGTCAGAGCTGAGTACCAGGGCTCAGAGAATTGGACCCAACAGAAAGTGGGATATGGGCCTTCTTCTCAGACCACGTGGAAAGGTAGCTGAATCAACTTCCTGGTTCTAAGTGCGGGGAAGTGACCTGTGAATGGCAGCCCTGCATGGTAACAACAGAGGATTAGAAGAACATCTCAGAATAATTCCTAAGAGCCCTCTCTCTAAAACAGAGTGACAGACTGATACTGTTAGGGCATGCAGAGGGCACCCAGCCAAGTGCACAGGACCCTAGGACATGCCCAAATGTACCAGGTGTGACTTTACGGTCATCTCACACGCATGCTCTTTAAAAATACAGGTCAAAATCGCAACACTAAATTTAAATTCTTACAACCCATATTGTAGCAAGAGTATACATAGTTTTAATACAGGGAGTTTCCTTTTCTCATTCATTTAGCAAATACTTATTGAGGTCCCTATGTGATGTGATGTAACAGTGCTGCCAAAACCAAGTCGAATGCAGAGTGTACTGCACAGTGAATGAATATAAATCACTCATCAGCTACACACGCCAGAAGGGGACTCTGAGGAGCTTGGATTGACACACAGACCATATTTACCTGAGCTATGACATCTGAGATTGAGGCACATCCCACCAGGAAACTGTACTTGTGTTTTAAGAGAATGCCAGCATGGGTCCATGCCTGCCAGAAAAAAAGAATTTGGCATGAGACATACCTTTAGGATTATGCTGTTTCTGGTCACCGTGATTTTCCAGGCATTCCTGAAGTACACTTTATTCCCCCTTAGAGCCTTAGCAGCACAGGTCTGATAAATCTTTGGTTGATAAAATCACTGTAATTTGATCTGGTGGCTAGCTCTACGTTAGAGTTTTCAGTGGAGTGAATGAGTGCACCAACGTATTTATTCAGTACCAATTGTATGCAGACTAGTGCGTCATTAGGTTTGTATACCTGGCAAGAAAGCTGAAGGAATACCAAGAGTGGAGGAAACATTATTTCTCTCTCTCAAGCATCTCGATCCCAAAGCAGCGTCCTTCCCACGTGACCCATGTCATAACGAGGGCTCTCATTTGGGTCTGAGTTATTACAGTCTTTACGGGTGTTCTCTGAGTGATTAGGGTCTACTGTTTTCTTGCCTTCAAGTTTGGGCAGGATCTGATCTGACGCTCTGGGAAATGAGGAAGGTGCTACGAGAGGAGCAGATGAAAAGCCTGGGGAACACCAGGAGGTTTCAAGTTCATGACAGGTTCTGTTTAAGGATTATTCTTCATACCTTCAAGGCTGATTTGGACTGACACAGAAATGACATTTTATCTGAGCTAAGCACAATGAGACAAGCAGGGGCTATCCTCCGGGTCCATGTCAAGACTTTGCAGAGCAACAGCTACTTCCCTGACCATCTGCAGATCATGGCTGCGGGCTGGCTTTGTTGTCTGAAAGCCGGCAGGATGATAAGCTTTCTGGCTTAAATATTCTCTCTCCAACCAATATATCAAGGCCATGCTGCCAGGGGTGAGTGGGTGGGGAGGGAGGATACGATCTGGTCCTTATAAATGTTCATGATTTTCATTTTTATTAGCCATCTCTTGCTGTTATACCATGGTCTTTGGGGGAACTTATAGAAGAAACATGGAAGAAAAGGGTACCAATTACAAATGTCCTGGTGTTATATTTGATTTCAGAGACTCTCATATGGCAAATAAATACAATTGAAGGGACGGGGAATACCAGGTCTTTAACAGTCTGCAACTCACTTTTACTAACAGTCCCGAGTTCCTGGAATTCACCTTGTAACTGTAATTCTTCTATATGTTTAGGTTCCCATTTCAAACACAGATGGGAGGACAGACCTGGGAGCAACAGCATGGACCTGTCCAGGAAGTTAGGCTTTGATTCTTCAGGGATGTCAGGAAGGCCACTTCCTTCAGTTCTCTAGCTGGGCTACCACCATGGGCTAGCTCAGGCACCAAGGGGAAGCCAGTTCTGCACTTACTTTATGCATCTAATTGCATACAAACTGGAGGTGGGGGTGGTAAAAAACTATACAGACAAACATATGTTTAAGTCTCCTTCCAAGAATAATTCAAAATGGAGCCAAAGGAAAGGGTTTACTTCCCAGCATTGGACCTTATTGGAAATATATATATATATACATATACATATATATATACGTGTGTGTGTGTGTATTTTGTGTGTATATACATATATGTGTGTATTTTTTTTTGCTAGGTCTCCTTTATATTTATAAGACAGCAGAAGATAATAAAAGCACTATTTAAGCACTCCTCAGTATCATGACAAAGAATTTATGGAAGTAGGCAGCTCTTAGCTAATGGGGCAAAGCTGGTTATTAAAATAATGAAACCCTAACAGAATGTTCAAGAGATTCTTACTCTAAAACTTTGGGTGTCTGTGCCATACAAGTGATAAGTTTATCAGAAAGTGATTCTGATCCTTTGATCCTGAGTATATCAGAAAAGAACTGTATATCTGCATCAACATTTTCAAAGGGGCTTTCCTGCCACCTGCCAGAAATTGTGGCAAAATGAAATAAATTGACAAGATGAACTGGTTAAAAGTCAACAGGCAGTTGGAACCTGGGTACTCCGCTGGTGGTATAGCTGCTATGAAAATCAGTGCGCTAATTCCTCAAAAAAATTAAAAATCAAATTTCCATATGATCCTGCAATTCCACTTCTGGGTATATGCCCCAAACAACAGTGAATGCCAAAAGAACAGGGACTCAGATATTTGCACACTCATGTTCACAGCAGCATTACCCACAAGAGCTCAAAGGCAGAAGCAACACAAGTGTCCATCAGCCGATGAACGGAAACACAAGATGTGGGCTAGACATCCACTGGAAAGTGACTCAGCCCTAACAAGGAAGGAAATTCTGGCACCTGCTACTACATGGATAAACCCTGAGGACATGCTCAGTGAAATAAGCCAGTCATGTATGGCTCAGTGAAATAAGCCAGTTTATGTTTGATTCCACTCTTTTGAGGTATCTCAAGTAGTCAAATCTGTAGAGTTACAAAGTAGAATGGAAGCTGCCCGGAGCTGGGGAGGGGGCCGAGGAGAGTTACTGTTTAATGAGGATAGAATCTCAGTTCTGCAAGATGAAGAGTTCTGAAGATTGCTTGCACAACAATGTGAATATACTTCATGCCATTAAACTGTACACACAAAAATAGCTAAAATGGTACATTTTACATTATGTATATTTTACCATCAGTTAAAAAAAAGAAAGCCAACGATCTTCTCTACGCACCATTGCATCCATGAAGGGAAAGGCGGCGAGGTACAGGAAGGCCCTTCGTGTCTTGCTCCCCACCGACTCGTCCACATGGTGCAGTTTATTGATAATGTAGTATCCTAAATCACTATAAGCTGCAAAGGGTCAAAAGACATATGTGGAAATGTCATATGTAAAAAGGATCTCTTTATATTCTTTTTATTTCAAAGGCTTAAAAACCATTTTAAATGTAGTATTTGTTCACCATAGATAAATGAGATAAGCAAATAGAAAAAAATCATCTGCAATCTCATCTCTCTACCCAGAGTGGGTCACAGCTAATGCTCTGGCTTCTAATCACCAAGTGCTTTTACGGTCATGTGTTTTAACATAAAAATGAGATTGCATTACACATTCTCTTTTGTAAACCACGAACATCTTTCCACGATATGTTTTTACATTTTATTTCATTAAATTCCCTTCAATGAACTGAATTTCTTTCTGGGAGTTTGCTTAGTATCAATGTGCCCAGTCTCCTATTGTTATACAGTTAGGTTGTTTCCATCATTTTCATATTACAAAAGAATGCTTGGCAGCTAGGTTTGAAGCTAAATGTTTACACATATTTTTAAGTATTTACTAAGAGAAAATTTTTAGATGTTAATATGTCTTTTCCATAAAACTTTAACCTAGCTTTTCCACACTTGCCAGTTCTTTTATTTCACTTTTTGGGAAGAGGGTGGCAACTTAGGGTATAGTCCTGCATGCTGGAAAATGACACCGGAGAGGTGCTTTTGTAGTCCTTCCAATATCAGAATTTGTTACCAGTGACCAGAACACAGTAGGCACTCAGCCAGTACAGGCTGAATGAATGCATATGTGTCAAATAGGAATAGGGAAGAAGGAGAAAGGCCTCCTAATGTGTTAGTCAGGGATCCTGACAGGTATTATTAGCAAAGGTTAAATAAAATATTGAGCTATTTTTCACCTCATTGATAGAGGTTTAGATTATATATAAAAATAATAGGCAAGGCATGGTGGCTCACGCCTGTAATCCCAGCACTTCAAGAGGCTGAGGCAGAAAGACGGCTTAGCCTAAGGGTTTGACAACAGCCTGGGAAATAAAGTGAGACTCTTTTTCTAGCAAAGTTTTTTAAAAATTAGCCAGGCATGGTGGTACACGCCTGTTGTCTCAGCTACTTGGGAGGCTGAGGCAGGAGAGCTGCTTGAGCCTGGGAGTTCAAGGGTACCGTGAGCTATGATTGCGCCACTGCACTCCACCCTGGGTGACAGAGTGAGATCCTGTCTTTATAAGAAAGAGAAGAGAAAAGAAACCTCTATCAATGAGGTGAAAAATAGCTCAATGTTTTATTTAACCTTTGCTAATAATATCTGTCAGGATTCCTGACAAGGGAGGGGAGGGGAGGGGAGAGGAGGAAAATCACAATCTTTGTGTTTTTCATAGTGTCTTACAAGTGCTCTAGCAGTAGGTGTGCCTACTGTTTTCATTCTCTTACAACTCTGGATATTAGTGTACTTAACCACCGAAGCTGCTCTGAAATCAGACTAGAGCCAGAGTACAGAAAGAGTCTCACTTTATGTGAAATAAGAATCCCCTGACATTTCAAAGCCTGGGGGACAACTTACCATGTTAATTAGTGAAAAGAGAGAACCCTTCACCCTTTGTCAGGATTAGTCTTGAATTATGAGAATTTTGGATTCAGTAAGGTCTTGGGGATGATATCCAGGATACTGAAATGTGCAAATGGGTAGAGGGGTAGAGGTGTGAGTAAGTGGTGTCACGGGGTGGGAGGCTGGAATGACTACGATCTTCAGAGAGTAAGGCGGGGCAGGTCAGGGAGAGTGCAGGAGGAAAGCTCCTAATCCTTCCAAGCAGGGTAGAGGTGAACAACCGAGGGTCAGCTGCCAGGTGAGTAAAGGTGCCGGGTGTGGTGGTAGCAGGGCCGTCAGAACCATTGAGGCATCAAGAAGAGAAATCCAAGACAGGGGATGTCACGTGGCAGAAAGAAGAGAGGCCTGGGAAGATGGCATTAGTTATAGCAAGGGACATGGGTGAGAGGAGGCAGCTGTGATGTCCCTGTCATTTGGATCAGAAAGCTGCACAGAGATGAAAAGTGGATTAGTGGAGGTTTCACTTGACCTGGGAAGGCAGGGAGGGAGAGCTCCTGTCTGATTTTGCGGCCAGGTGAGAATCGCATTCAGACATGAGCTAAGCTGGCTGGAACACAAAGCCAGAATGAAGATGTTGCTTAATCATACAAGTGGTCTACTTTGGGTGGTGAACTGTGGAAATTTTGTCTCAAAGTTTATTGTTACTGCTGCTGTTTATTTGCACATGTGTTTTCATTCAGTCAACAAATGTTCACTGTGCAGGGACCTGCAAGGAGACCATTTTGACCTTGCCCACATCACTGTCCCCACACCCGCCTCTCAGCTAAGCCACTGGCAATGGCAAAGGCAGCTGTGCCAGGCAAGCAGAGCAACTGACACAATGCCAAGTGCAAGAGCACAGGGCTGGCTAGGAATAGATTATGAGCTAAAACCCCCTGGTGAAGGTTACGGTCACTATACAACACCTGCTGAGGGGACTTGGCTGCTGTGGTTGAAGCTGGGAACTACGGAATTGGTGAAAGGGCAGTGTTATAAGCTAAACTATGTCCCTTCAAAATTCAGATGCTGAACTCCTAACCACTGGCATCTCAGATGTGACTTTATCTAGCAATGAGGTCATTGCAGGTATAACTGGTAAAGATGAGGTCATACTGGGTAGGGTGGGCTGTCAATCAGTGACTGATGTTCTTATAAAATGGACATTCAGATACATAGGTAGACACACACAGGGAGAACGCCACGTGAAGATAAAGGCAGAAACTGGGGTGACTCCTCTACAAGCCAAAGAATGCCAAAGATTACCAGTAAACCCCCAGAAGCTAGGGGAGAGGCCTGGAAGACAGTCTCCTTCATATCTTTCAAAAGGAGCCGGCCCTGTGACACCTTGACCTTGGACTTACAGCATCCAGAACTGTGAAAGGCCCAATTTCCGTTGCTTAAGCCACTGGGTTTTTGATGCTTTGTTACGGCAGCCCTAGAACACAGGTGCAAGTGGCTTCTGAGAAAGGGAGAGAGACTTATTTTCATGTTAAACTCTGGGGTGCCAGGAAGATCAGATGGGACATGTGAGTCTGCATGTAGTGCCCAGAAATACAGAGATCAATATACATAAGTTTCTCCCCGCTGAGAATGAAAAGAAACTCATCTGAAAAAGGTGAGCCCCTTGAATTATCAGGCCTAGAGATGCACTGAAATGTGACACTGTGTGACAGTGGTCATGCCTCACTCCCACCTTGAGCTAAATAACGACCTTGAAGCCACTTGCTGTGTGGGCTCTAGATGAACTGATGCTAAGTAGCCATAAAATGCCACATGCTGGACACCACAGTTCATGCCTACACCGTAAATCAATGAGTATCTCATCAAATGACTTCATGTCAGCCCATTCCTTGTCCCCTCTTGCCTATTTTTTTTTTTTTTTTGAGAGAGTCTTGCTCAGGCTGAAATGCAGTGATGCAATCTTAGCTCACGGCATCCTCCACCTCCTGGGTTCAAGCAATCTCCTGTCTCAGCCTCCCCAGTAGCTGGGATTACAGGTGTGTGCCACCACATCCAGCCAATTTTGTATTTTTAGTAGAGATGGGGTTTCACCATGTTGGCCAGGCTGGTCTTGAACTTCTGACCTCAGGTGATTCCACCTGCCTCAGCCTCCCAAAGTGCTGTGATTACAGGCGTGAGTCACCATTCCCAGCCCTTTTTGCCTTAAAAAACCTGCTTGTAACAAAGGCTGAAAGGAGCACTCTCCAAGGCCACTGGGAAGTGTGTCCCAGGTGGCAATCCTCAATCTTGGCCCAAAAAAACTCACTATATAATTTAAACTCAGTTTTTCTTAAATATGGCTACTTATTACAATAGCTTAATAGAAACATCAAAAACAGCGCCTTCATGCAGAGTAACCGGGGTAAACGGGTAATATTTATGGAGTCTAAGGACTGCTGGGGGGTTTGCCATACATTCTCCTGGGGATGGGCCCAGCCAGCTTCCTGGTTCTGTGAGGTTTCCCCAGCTCTTGCCTTCTTCAGCATCCAGGGCTCACCCTAGCTCCCTGGGTTTCTGAGTACTATGGGACCTACGAGGCTAGAGGCTGCCTTTGCTTCTTTTAACTTCTTTTTATTTCAGTCTCTTCCTCTTTCGCCTACTAGAGGAGACATTTGGAGGCCAAGGGAAGAAGCTTTTTCTCCCCGGTTTTTTTACTTCCTTCTACTCTTCCCCTACATGATAGAAGAGTTTGATGATAACCATAGAGGTTACTTCTACCCTGAGAGCTGTGAGTATAAAATCCCAACAACTGTTTTCACCCATTCTCTGGGCAACAACTCCCTCCCTCCCATGCCCCTGGGCTATTAACAGCTAGAGCAATGTGAGTGTGTGTGTGTGTGTGTGTGTGTGTGTGTATGGGGGGGTGTAATTTGTTTAAAGTGCTTTGCATAGAGTCCATAATTACCAGGCTAGCTGCCTTAGCAATATTTAGCAAACTTCAGCTTCTATAAACCACATTACCAAGACTGCTCTGTCAGCTTGTATTCCTTACAAAGAGCAGAACATTACAAAAAAAAATTAAAGTTTTTGAACAGATGTAAACAAATGTTATGACACTGTAACATCAAGAAGACACTGACTTGAGCTGTTTACAGGTGGACAGCTTTGACTCTCCCAAACAAGGGACACAGAGAGGGCCCTTCAGATCCACGGCTCCACTGACCTCAGCCAGCCAGGGCCACGGTCCCTTTCTGGAATCAGTGGTTCTCAAACCTGTTCATCCAGTAGTTGTTGCAAACCATAAAATGTTAATATTAACTGAAATAAGTCTACATACATACACTTTTTTCCACATCCAATGGGCAAATTTAAGAACCATTATTCTAATTCAAATTCCCAAGTTCTCAATGTTTACAAGTGTCACAGGTACTGTTATTGACCCACCGTGTCCAGCTTGTGAGGCTTTTCATGGGAGCAGGGAATTTCACCACTGTGCTTCTAGGGCATTATTTCCAAGGGATGTGTGTTTATATGGCTGTTAGGT